GACCACTTGCATAGGAATTGCTCCAGGTATAACAGTAGATTCAGTGTGTTTGTGTCAGGGGGATGGTCAGGAGTCTCCTATGTCACCATCTTGGTCAGTTCCTCTCCATCCATTCTTGTAGCATGCCTTCTGAGCTTCATAGTGAGGATGGAGTTGTGAAGGAGGGATTTGTCATTCATTCAATAACCACTTCATGAGTGCTTTCTATGTGCTAGGCATGGGGGGTTTAATAGGTACTAACTTTGCATTAACAAAGTTCAGAATTTTAGTGGAGACAGGCAAGTGATATTTCAGTGCAATGACTGTAAAACAGAAGTATGTACAGTTGTCTGAGAGCTTTGCGGAGGTAATGCAGTGGGCAGATGGCTTGATGAAGGAGGTGATATATGACCTGGGTCTGGAAGGTTAAGTAGGAACTTGGCAGGCAGGTGCACACAGAAGCCTTACACCCTATACACTTATTAATCAGAGACAGTGGTCAGTGTTCCAAAACTACTTGAATCAGGTACAGCCACTGAAAACAGTTTTCTTTGTGGCTTTGGACAGTGCCATTAAAACCTAGAAGTCTCAGTTTGCCTTCCTGTTGAATAGGTAGAGTAACATGAACTCCTGAGAGCCGCTGGGAGAATGAATCAATTTATGTGGTTTGCAAGAGCAAGTGTTTACTTATTAGAAAGACTCCAGAGGAAACACATGGAATGAATGGAACACAGGGGAGAGCAAAAGGCAAAAACAAAAGGAAGCAAATGGAACGGGACTCTCATTAGCCTGTGATGGATTGATCTTCTGTCACTGATTTCCCAGACTCCCAGCAGTTTCAGCTTAAAGCTTGTTCAATATTTTAAAACCAATTTAAAACCAAATTTTGAGTTTGCTTAAAAAAATCATAGCATTAATCAAAGAATTCATTAAATTTAGGGTCAAGCATCCTAACTGATGGGAAAAGTCTGACTGGGTCCCAGGAGACATGGGCTTGCCTGGATGCATAACATGTAATATCAAAGGCAAGAAACCGCTCAGCTTTCAAGGGAGAACAGTGGAGAATAGCCACAAACACTTAAAAGAAAAATTTTACAAGTGAATCGAATGAAAGGAAATATGAAGAGGACTAGTGAGGGTATTTTGTTACTGATTAATAAAATTTAGACATGAGGATGCATCTGAGACATTCAGTCCCAAGAGGAGGGTATGTGCTTAGATTTTTATTGTTAGGTGCGTAGTGTCCTCTTCTCAAAGATTTCAGAACAATGGAATTGCAGAGGTCACCCACCATTGGAGAGAAATGTAGGGAACAGAAAATACAATGGCTCTATTAAAGTAAAAATCCCTTATTCTCTTACCAAATGGAACTGGGTCTTGTAGTTTGATGAAATAGCTTGTTTGGCTCACCCCTTTCCGTGTCTCAGAGTTGCTATGATGTAATAAGGGAACTCCGGAGACACGGTAAAGCAGCCCACAGGGCATGTACTGCCTGCCTGCTCTGTGTTCTTTTCCTGCCTCTGCTCAGCTCATGGGCTGTGTCCTGAGGACCCCTTACAGCTGTTTTGGCTGGGTGTGGCCAAGAGGGAACATCAGCAAAGGATCAAGGGGGTGAGAGAGAAGGCGAGAGGTCTGTCCTCATTCCCTTCCTGCTTTGGGCCCACTTCTAGCCACACTGGACCCTCCATGACGACACCACCCACCTCCGTGCCTCCAGCTCTCAGCGCTGTCTCCCATGGGACTGCGTTTCCGCTTTTTGTCCCTTTAGGGAGTCGTGGCTCCCCACTGATGCTGGGCTCTGAGACCCCCCACATCGCTGTGGGTGCTTGTGAACCTTCCCCATCGTGGTAGGTCATCGTGGCCTTTCAGCTAAAATCTATGTGTCCATCTGAGTTGAAGTCTCTTTCCTGTGTGACTGGAATAAATTAGAGACTTGGGGAAAAATGGCAGCCAAAAACCCAAATAGTTGCCTTCTGTTATCAGGCAGCAGTGGACCTGAAGAGTTTCCCAGTTTGTTTGGTCAGTTTGCTTTGCTTTTGAATAAGAGGAATATGATTGGGAGCTCACCGCAGGAAGAGCCACACTCCAGGGAGGCTTTGCTGCAAGGACGTCTCTTCTTGAATTCTGGCTTGGTAGCTCTGTCCTGCATTAACTATTCCTCCTCTGCATCCCTGTCATACTCATTATTTGTGCAATACTTGTGTCATCTAATAAAGTGATATAAAGTCCATGAGACAGGGACTTTATCCCCAGAGCCTAAAACAAAGCCTATTATAGGTGTTTAATACATATTTGTGGAATGAATGAAATAATGTCTTTTTCTTTGCAGAAGCTACCATCAGTCAGCAAACATCTATTAAATGTCTATGGACCAGAGAAGATATTCGCCTCTGTGCCTTTGTCCATGTAGTGATTTCTGCTGGAAAATTCTTCATCATCCCTATCTTGCTGTCATCTTGATGAACTCTGACCCAGCTTCCATTATTTTTTCATGGAAGCATTACACAAAGCTATATACTTGCTAAACTTTGTTTTAGTGTATTACTATCATTATATGTTTTCCTGTAAGTCTCCCCTATGATTCCCCTACAAGCATCTCAAGAAAAATATACTTATATGCATTTTTCTAGCAGGATGCCTGGCTTGTACAAGTGCTTGATTTAATGTTTGCCTAATAGATGATCTTGTAGCCCCAGGCCCCTGGATACTGGTCATCTATGCTCAAGGCCAGCACTGATTTTCGTTTTCTCATTTTTCTGAATTGAACATTAAGTTTGTAATGGCTTTAAAAGAACGTGAGATCTCTTAGTCTTTTTTTTTTGGTATCATTAATCTATAAATACATGAAGAACATTACTTTCAAGTCCCCCCCACAAACCCCATTACAGTCACTGCCCATCAGCATTAGTAAGATGCTGTAGAATCACTACTTGTCTTCTCTGTGTTGTACAGCCCTCTCTGAGACCCCCACACACATTATACATGCTAATTGTAACGCCCCCTTTCTTCTTCCCCGCCCTTCTCCCTCCCTTCTCACCCATCCTCCCCAGTCCCTTTCCCTTTGGTAACTGTTAGTCCATTCTTGGGTTCTGTGATTCTGCTGCTGTTTTGTTCCTTCAGTTTTTCTTTGTTCTTATACTCCACATATGAGTGAAATCATTTGGTACTTGTCTCTCTCTGCCTGGCTTATTTCACTGCGTATAATACCCTCTAGCTCCATCCATGTTGTTGCAAATGGTAGGATTTGTTTTCTTCTTATGGATGAATAATATTGCACTATGTACACCAGTAAGAATTGCCACCATCCAAAAGACAAACAACAACAAATGTTGGTGAGGTTGTGGAGAAAGGGGAACCCTCCTACACTGCTGGTGGGAATGTAAATTAGTTCAACCATTGTGGAAAGCAGTATGGAGATTCCTCAAAATGCTCAAAATAGAAATACCATTTGACCCAGGAATTCCACTTTTAGGAATTTACCCTAAGAATGCAGCAGCCCAGTTTGAAAAAGACAGATGCACCTCTATGTTTATTGCAGCACTATTTACAATAGCCAGGAAATGGAAGCAACCTAGGTGTCCATCAGTAAATGAATGGATAAAGAAGATGTGGTACATATATACAATGGAGATCCCTTAGTCTTTTATACCAAGGTTGGTCGGCTCTTCTCAAATGAAGAATGAAGGGAGTTATAAGGTAGGTCAGGCGCCTGGATGGCTTTAAGTTAAGTAATGCCCTTCTTCACCTTACTGCTACTATGTTCAAATAAACAGACATTTGGGTACTGCTTTCTGGAAGCCTTGTCCACATTTGTGACCCTAAGAGTATGTGGCCGTGAGTGGATAGACCAACCCCATCTACCAGCACCTCGGGCTCCAGTCTGGTCTGGCCCTTCTGGGCTGCAGTGGTCCTGTGGCAGGGGGGGTCTCAGAGGCAGCATTATTCCTGACATCAGTTCCCGTTGAGCTGGCATGTGAATGCCCCTGAGCCAACATACAGTCCACAGGAAACAGGAGGAGCATTTGCTGCTGCGGTTACAGAAATGGCAATTCCGACTTCAATCTGCCAAAAGGCTCATGGCCAATGTTTTAGGAGCTGATGAGAGGACCTGAATTCCCTAATTGTGTTTATTTAGTTATGCTAATACTAAGTAAATACATCTGTAGAATACATTATAAGAATGCATTTCTTTATGGTTCGATTTTATAGCATTCAGTCATTTAAAATTCTCTACTGTAAAATTAAAATGTTCTAGAATTTCTATGTCTATTTAGGAGGCTGCTGTCAATAGAATGACTAAAGGATTTATCCGGGTAGATTTGGTGTTTAAACCTTTGTTAATATCTGTATCAGGAGAAAAGTAATGAGCAAATTCATCAACTGTGCTGAAATTTTTACTACTTTCCTCTAAGGTTTGGTCGATCATAATTAATAACTAAAAGAAAATGTATTTGCATTTCTCTAAGTCTAGTACAGCACATTGGAGAGCAAGGCTCAGTAAACATGTTCTTTACCTAATCAAGAGTGAAATACAATTTAGCATAGTTCATGATATTGCTAAAAAACAATATCCTTGAATCATATAATACTTTTCCATGCATGTCATTCATGAAGATAGTTTTCACCAAAGATTTTAAACAAAGGCACTGTTGAAAAAAAATAATAAATGTGGGGTTAGTGTTGGTTTATCTGATTTAGAGATTGTTAAATTGTTTTTATCTCTTCTTCAAAGACTCCTCAGATCATGCTATGTTCCTGATCCTTATTCCATATACTCTGGGGGAAACACTATCCCTGAAGTAAGGTATTTCCTAAAGGGTCAGTGGGAAGTCCCCGGCTCTCTCCTGAGGAGATGGGTGGTTCTGAAGGACTGTGATGGGGAGAAGCCAGAGCCCCATCCCCATGGGTGGAGGCGGTACACTGGTTCTTGTTTTATCAGACTGGAACTTCGATGAGCTCCGGGGAAGAGCCCTGCCTCCCACCCATGTGAACTTTGCTCTGAGGAGAGAAGAGCGCTCTACCTGAGTCACTGCTCCTGCGGCGTCAGTCGGGGCGTTGCATTCGCCTTCGTGGTATGGTTCTTTGCAGTCCCGGCAAAAGACAAACTGCAGAAGAACACATGTGTGTTAGGGAGGGAGCTGCTGGCTGCATGTGGCCATAGCACATTTTTCCTTTTCCAAGCTCATTATATTCATTTTTCTGTGTCTTTTGGCACATTTTTCTGTGCCAAATTATTTTTTGCAAAGAGAAATAGCTATATTTTGACAGAATTGTTCACTATTGTTCCAAGCACTGTTTCAAAGATGAATGAATCACATTTTCTTCCTTCAAGATGTTTCTACTCTAACAGGAGAGACAGTAATGCAAATAAATACTTGTAATAAAGAGTAATTGGTGTTAGAATGTGAAGGAAATGATTTCATTCAGGAATTTCACATCCAATACTTGTTTACAGACATAGAGGATTTATACATCCATGTTAGTGGACTTATTTATTTATTTATTTTTTGTTTCCATTAATCTACAATTACATGAAGAACATTACGTTTACTAGGCTCCCCCCTTCACCAAGTCCCCCTCACAAACCCCATTACAGTCACTGTCCATCAGCATAGTAAGATGCTACAGAATCCCTACTCGTCTTCTCAGTGTTGTTCAGCCCTCCCCGTCCACACCACCCCCAAAGAAATTCAGATGGCCAACAGACACATGAAAAGATGCTCCCCATCACTAATCATCAGAGAAATGCAAATTAAAACCACAATGAGATATCACCTCACACCAGTAAGGATCACCACCATCCAAAAGACAAACAACAACAAATGTTGGCGTGGTTGTGGACTTATTTTTATATTGAAAGATTGTTATGGAGAGAAGAAATGAATTGTGTCCCCTAAAAATTCATATGATGAAGTCTTAACCCCCAGTACCTCAGAATGTGACTGTATTTGGAGATGGGTCTTCAAAGAGATAAGACAGATAAAATGAGGTCATTAGGGTGGCCCCAATGCAATATGACTAGTGTCCGTACAGGAGGAGATCAGGACCCAGACAACTCGTAGACTGAGAGGTGGGCATGCAGGACCCAGCTGGAAGGCGGCCATGCACAAGCCAGGGAGAGAGCCCCACAGGGAGCAGTCCCTGCCGACGACTTGTCCTCAGACTTCCAGCCTCCAGGGCTCTGAGAGAACAAATTCCTGTTGCTGGAGCCCCAGTCTGTGGTTTGGTGGCCACAGGACACTCACAGGGGTGCTGGCGCGGGTCCTCTCATCTGGTGGTGGGGCTCCTTTAAGTGTTTACACACCAGGGGCGGAGGAGACCAGGGGTCAGGTGCCCTCCACCTCCACCTTCCAGGGAAGGATGCTGTCCTGTCTGGCCTCAAATTACGGGGCTCCTGCAGAACTGCTTCACTGTCACCAGCTGTGCTCTGGAGGTTGCCGGGGTGGCTGAGCTGTGGGCTCTGTGTTCTCACAAATGGGATTGGAGTTGTCATCCCATCACGCACCTTGGGAAAGCTACCTTGGCATCTTTGACTCAGTTTCCCCCTCTGCAGGGAGACAGCATGTGCTGCAGCCACGCCTGGCATGCAACATGCCCTGAGCTTTACGGAGAGGCTGGATGGGACTGTTTTCCCTGTCCTGTTTCACAGCCGAAGGAGGAGCTGCTTCACTGGGAAACAGGCTCCCAACAGCAAACCTTGCTCTGACTTGCTGGGGAGCAGCACGTCTCAGAGCAGAGAGGGTATTCAGAGGAGATACTCTAGCAGGGAAGAGAGCAAGGTCAGTGGGCATGGGATGTGGGAAATGCTGGTGGTTTTAAGCACAGGCCCAGAGTGACCTGATGCTCTTCCCAGGAGAGGTGGGTTCTGGGTCTCTGGTGCTTAAACATGGGCAACTGCTTCACTGAGAGCACACGGTGGAAGTGGTAGTGTGTCCTTTTTGGGTCTTGCCTTTAAGAAACTGGCAGCTTCCACTTCCTGCCTCTTGGGACATTTGCTCTTAGAGCCCAGCCACCTGGGAAGAGGCTCCTGCGGAGGGGAGCTGAGCCCCTGGCCAGCGGCCCTGTCCGGGATTTTAGAGAGGAGACAGCACTGGCCCGCCAGCCGTGTGTCTGAGCCATATTCCAAGTGGATCTTCCAGGCACTGGAGGAGCTTTCCCAGCTGATGCCACATGGAGCAGAGACAAGCTGTCTTCACAGAGATTTTTACAGGTTTGTGGGCAAAAGCAAAATAAGCAAGACAGGAACAAGAATGTTGCTGCTTTAAATCATTAAGTTTTGGGGGTGTTCTTTACATAGCAATCCATAACTGATATAGTAATGGCACCAAAAGCCTGGATGACTCAAAGAATTCCCAGAGGCTTGGAGGTGCTCAAGTGACTGACTATTATATACCTAGAGCCAGGGAGCTGGCTCAGTTCTGCTTAACAGAAGATTGATGAGAAAACTGCTAAAAAAACCTCCAAAACAAGCAGGATATAGAAAAAACTGCTTTATCCTAAAGGCATAGCCATTTCTCCTTGCTTCAAAACCAGATTTACCTCCTGCCCGTGTCCCATTTCTGTTTTAATAACTCATCAGAAAATTATTTTAATCTCAGGGCATATCAAGCCAGAAAGGCAAGTATTTTATCAGGAAAAGGCCCTTCCTACATATAGATATGCTATGTCTACCTTCCAGTCATCACTTGCAGAGTATTAGAATCTTATTTCTTCTCACAGCAAAGAGCCTGCCCCAAAGCTTGTGGGTATAAATGGCATTTAAAGGTTCAGGTTGGTGAGGGAGGGCATTGTGTGAGGTTGTCCTTACACAGTCCCCAACACCACCAGCTTTTAATTCCTGACATTTTTATTTTCCTTTAACTGAAAGATAATCCAGGGAACAGTGGATTCGGGATTTTAGAGAGGAGACAGCACTGGCCCGCCAGCCGTGTGTCTGAGCCATATTCCAAGTGGATCTTCCAGGCACTGGAGGAGCTTTCCCAGCTGATGCCACATGGAGCAGAGACAAGCTGTCTTCACAGAGATTTTTACAGGTTTGTGGGCAAAAGCAAAATAAGCAAGACAGGAACAAGAATGTTGCTGCTTTAAATCATTAAGTTTTGGGGGTGTTCTTTACATAGCAGTCCATAACTGATATAGTAATGGCACCAAAAGCCTGGATGACTCAAAGAATTCCCAGAGGCTTGGAGGTGCTCAAGTGACTGACTATTATATACCTAGAGCCAGGGAGCTGGCTCAGTTCTGCTTAACAGAAGATTGATGAGAAAACTGCTAAAAATCCTCCAAAACAAGCAGGATATAGAAAAAACTGCTTTATCCTAAAGGCATAGCCATTTCTCCTTGCTTCAAAACCAAATTTCCCTCCTGCCCGTGTCCCATTTCTGTTTTAATAACTCATCAGAAAATTATTTTAATCTCAGGGCATATCAAGCCAGAAAGGCAAGTATTTTATCAGGAAAAGGCCCTTCCTACATATAGATATGCTATGTCTACCTTCCAGTCATCACTTGCAGAGTATTAGAATCTTATTTCTTCTCACAGCAAAGAGCCTGCCCCAAAGCTTGTGGGTATAAATGGCATTTAAAGGTTCAGGTTGGTGAGGGAGGGCATTGTGTGAGGTTGTCCTTACACAGTCCCCAACACCACCAGCTTTTAATTCCTGACATTTTTATTTTCCTTTAACTGAAAGATAATCCAGGGAACAGTGGATTGAACTGATCTTAGGGTTTTCTCTCCAGATTTTTTATTTTTAATTGATGTCTCTGCTCATCTATGGGGTTTGCCTCTGACCCAGAATTCTGCACTTATGTGTGCTCTATTAAAAAAACGCAGGCTGCCGGCTCAGTCTTTGAGAAGAGCTCACTATGTTATTATTTTGCCCCACTGCGTTCTGTGGAAGCAAGTCTGATCCCTTGGTGTGACAGGGAAAACGCTTCACATCTTATTAGTTAGTGGATGAGATATAAAATCAGTTTCATGGTGAAAGAACACCCTGGAGGTTGATCAGTTTGTCAGAATAAATAGGCCTTTCCTGACATAAAGACATTAAATATGCTTCCACACTGGTACTAAAGAAGGGACTATAAAAAAATATCAGAAAAGAAAAAGCACTTAAAAATTAAGCCCTTACCACTCCAGCATGGCAAAAGGCAAGTGAAAGCTGCAAGAATATGCTGGTAATAATTTCACATTAATGCACCTGTGAATTGGTTTCTATTCAGAGAGTATAACTTAGATGTAGATATATCACGGAGTGGCCTTCCTACTTAAATACTCAAGCGCTCTGCGGTGCCACAGCAAACCCACAGAGGCGGAGTAGGGAATTTTACATTTTTGATGAAAACACAGTGATACTCAACATCTGCTGGGCACTGCGAACTACTAACTTAAGGCCATCCGTTGTGTTAATGATCACCCTCCTTCGGATGACATCATGTCTTCGCAAAGCTGGGTTTTTGGAGGTTACTGTGATAAAACAAAACAGCTATCCTGTGAACATCTCTGGAACAGGATATGTAGTTGTTCATAATGAAACAATACTTTTTTCTTTTAGTTTATGCAAACAATTTTTTAAAATGACTCTTTAGCTGCTAAGACATTAATTCTTATTATGTTATTTGGACCTACATATTTAATCAACGAAACTGTTACGCATTTCTTTGGACTAGGAGCATCATGAAAAACTTCCTGATCCACATCGTGTGGGGGAGGGTGTGTGTGTGTTAAGAGAGGAGGTTTGGGGAGCTCTGGCCTGGACAGACACAAAACTTGAGATGATGTTTTGGGCCAGTGGCACAGATGTTTCTAAAGAAAGAGCTTGAGGAGGAGACAGACCTGGCCCCAGGATTTTCACAGACACTCTGCTGGCCTGCCTATGTCTCTTAGGTGGGCACATGGATCTTGTTTTAACCTATGAAGTAGAAGGCTGCAGCTACACAGGGACTCACTTTTAATTAACTATGGTCTCACATTTGCCGAGGGTCTCTCAAGTTACCTTATGCTGAATCAGGAGACCATACGTTTATATAGCAGACTTTTCCTGGATTATTTTCTCTTGAGATAGATCTGAGAAATGCCACCAGTTTCTGCAGGGGTTCTTTTTTTTT